GACGTGAATAATAATAATAATAATAATAATAATAATAATAATAATAATAATCGTTCAGCTGTAGCGCCCTTTCGGTGCCTAGCTGCCATGTCACCCGAAGGAAGCATGAGGGAAGCAGGAGAAGTCGAGAGGCAGAGGTCGGGTTCGAACCACGGACCTCCGGGTCAGTAAATCCGCGCTCTAACCAGATGAGCTATCTTGCCCCGTGATGACGTGAACAATTTCCACGACTATCTCATTAGTTTTAATCCACACATCAAGTTTAGCATGGAGATTGAGTCTACCTCAGGCACATATCCTCTCCTGGACTGTACGACACATAGGAATTGTGGAAAATTGAAAACTACTATCTACCAGAAACCAAAATAGACAGGAACCATTTTAAACTAGTCATCAACACACCCAAAATTCCGTGTACGCCAGTGTTGTCTCATCGATGTTTCGTCGAGTCAGAGTGGTGTGCACGGAAGAGGTCGACCGAACGACAGCTCAAATCAAGATTGCCAACAGATTTCAAGAAACAGGATACCTAGTGAGTGTGATTCGGCGTCGACTAAGAAGGATATTGGCTCCGGTATCTAGACCCAGTAAGGGATGGATTGGCGCAGCAATCATTCCATTTAAGCAGGAACATCGGAGGTTATTCGAAGACTGTTGAACTTAGCCAGCATTCGAGTAGCTCGGCCTTGGTGCAGTTGAAAGGACTAGGGACTGCGTGTATAAAATTTACTGCAACGATTGCACTAAGGTTTACATAGAAGAAACTGTCACGGAGTTGCAGACTAGAATTGGTGAGCATAACACGAGAATAAACAAACCACCATAGAATGGGGAAGAATACCAAGCACTGATCAAAGACTCAGTGATGGCGGTACATCCATTAGACAAAGGATGGAGTTGGAAGTCTTAAGACGGGGACTGCGATTCACATCACACCGGCTAATAACCGAGGCGGTCGAAATTATCAAGCGTGACGCCGTGAATAGAGTCAAGGATGTCGGACTTGCGAGCGTTAACTACCCCTCTGGAGCGACCGTTTTCGACCGGTCCCGCTGGCGGCCACGACAAAGAGGGTTTGGTGCACATAAGTGCAATTAAAATCAACGGCCAACTGTCCGGGATATGTGACAGGTGTGTTTCAGTATCACCTGTGAATAGGAGACGAATAAAGCGCAAAGCACTGCAATCGATATGCACCAACCAAGTGGCACTTGGCAAACCACTGACTGTCTAGGTCCCGTGTGGGCACATGGAAATTAAATCTAGAACCTAAGACACCGTAGTTCGGATCTGCAATCTGACCAAGTTCCTCCGACGTCTCATGAACGTTTTGTTGCGGATCGACCGGAAGTTTTCGGAGAAATGGTAGAGTGAGGAGTATAAAAGAAAATGTTGTCGGTGACGAAATAAAAGAGTGAATCAAGCATGAATCACTAACAGGGTGATGACTGATTGCCTATCCGGGCTTCCGGTAACCGCTCGAAGATACACATGATTTATTTATTTTTCAGCGGGAGATTGGGGGAAGTAAAACGTCTCTGAAGAAAACACGCTCCTGTCGAGGACCGATTCGCTTTGATACGTAAGAACGTTGACATTCGCTTGCTACGACAGTGAGGCATCAGCATTTTTCAAGTGGACGGTGATGATAACACAACTAGGTTTATTAATTATCAATCAAGAAAAATCAGGAGGACAATTATTAGATTATCGACCTTACCTCACTTGGACAACAGCGGCACTGTGAGGGTGTGGACAATCGAGCACTTGTCAGACATGGATTGAACGTCTCCAGTCGATTCCCACGAAGATTCAAATGTTCCAGATCGGAAAGTGTTTCTTTACCATCAACTTTTGCTCCAGAGATAGCCACACGAAGGTCATTTGTCGCGCTGGGAAAGTGAGTCAATTACAGTTGAATGGATAGGAGCAGAATGATAGATGTGGAGATTAGAACTCAGCAATTCCAAAGACCGATTTCACAAAACAAACACTCTTGTCAGGTCTTAGAGGGTATACAAATTAACCCAGTCAAAAAATGATAAAGTGTTCTTCTAGTGCTCCCCGACACAGTTCAGTTTTAGATCACATATGGGTTACTTAGATATCCGCATGAGCCACGCACATCTTATTGGCTACGAGCACATTCAAGGTCAAGCAAAGTGGCCAATCACAAAATAGCATGCGTCGTACCCATGAGCAAACAGGATTCAAGCCATTCATCAACGTGAATTGTGGACCACATACAGACCTCACGGTGAAATGCAGTTTCTTAACATTCCAGTGAAAGTATATTTGTTTAAGTGAGGTAACATTTGGCGCGAGCGGATTTCGTCATACAAAACCACACAAAAAGTTCGCATTGATCTACCGAGCACGAGGAGACATGCGAAATGTTCGTGTGGTCAGGACAAAAACGACAGAAGCATGTGAGCCAAATCCAGATCAATCCATTCGAAACAACAAAAACATCGAATAGAAGGATAGAAGTCACTATGACCAAGTACCCTCAGCCTGGTACAATCATCGCTAACATGGATGATACATGTGGGATGCACGTGACCAGAGGAATGCGCCTTTTGACAAATTGATAGATGATTCGAAGAAATCAAAAATGAGGTAAATATGTAGCGCTGTGAGAGAGAGGCGGTTTTATTAGTGACTGTACTGGGCTGGCTAAGCAACGCCCGGTTTCATCCGTTCAGATGCGATATTTACGAGCGATGAGACGGGCAGGCCTATGGATAGACAATCGGTCACGAAAAAAATTGTGCACAGAGATCCCATTAATGAAACAGCTACTGCAGTTAGCCTGATAGATGATAGATGTTTTTTTGTCGGTTGGAGGACAAACAAGCGAAGACACTGACCACAGCCATCTTTGCATAGCCAGAAAAAATTGCGGTGGGATAAACCAATCACTCACTGGTTGTTCTTGTTCCAGAAGCTTCCGTCATGAGGAGTGCTGATTCCAATCAACTGTAAACTATAGAATTATCTTGAGGCTCACTCTAAAATCAGTTACGGCGAGTTCACTATCGGATCGCATGCCATTCTACGTAAGGCTAAGTTTGGCCATTTTGAGTGTCCCAATTTGAAAATAGGCGCAATACGCCTACTGTGTAAGAACCACGTGACCTACTTCAGAGTTGGTGAAATTCGTGGCCATGCTAATGTTGCCACTGATTGCCACCACTGAGACTCTTCAGGTCGGATGCTGTTAATCGATTAACTATGCGGTTTAATTTACGGCTTCTGTTCTAAGCAAGTCTACCTTTGCTGCGCAGTGCTACTGACCGTTCACGGACATAAGAGCGCTGCAATTTGATCAATACCATCAATATCATTCCCAGTATCATCTTTAGTTGTGAAAACCGGGTTGCAGCTGGTTGCAGCTGCATTGCGGCGCATTGCGGCCGCGCCACCCGAAGGAAGCACGAGGGCTGAGATACTGCCAGGTTGCCCAAGCTTATACAGAAGCAGTACGGATGCCCGGGATGTGGAATCGAACCACGGACCAGTAAGTTCGCGCTTTGACCACTGAGCCGTCCCGATCTAGAATGGAATGCAACAATGAAAGTGGACTGATGGTCTGCTGATTAGTCACTCGCGGCCGAAAGGTGGGAGATGGTGGACTGTGAATGATTCTAAAGAAAAATGAAAGAGTTGTAGTGCTTTTCGGCTTCCAGCATAGACCCGATCCACTTAGAGGATGAAATTTCCATTGAAGATTCCGTAATATCTTCGCGCTTGCTTGACACATCCGAACACAGTTAACATGACGCCACTTGATCTAGCTAGTAGAATGTCAAGTTTAGGTACAATTAATCGAACATTTTCACACTACTATCAATCTATAAGTAGCTCAGAGGAAGACAAAACATACAAGGTGAGTGAAACTTCCATAAAAAAGTCACCACTCGAGTAGATGGATTCCGCAAATGAAGGATGAACACCAACTGCCTCAGTGCGAGCTGATAACAATGCTGTTCGGCCGCTCGTCGCCTAACAGTCTTACACCAGAACTTAGCAAACAAAACCTGTTTTCCGAGATCGACCATCTGGTTCACAACCTATGCGAGAGGAAGCGTGCTTGGGATGAAGACAAACGGTTTGGTGCATCGAAAGAAGCAGACCAGTGTCGGGAGCACATGGAGTTACCGGACGACTGGGCCTACATTTGTTCAAGCTTCGCATGGAGTGCCTGGAGCCGATTCGACACACTGACCCAAATCCGAGACCATTTGAGTATTCTCTATCACACCATATTCACAGATTTCGTATACACTGCCATGTTTTGACAAGGGAGGTGAACAATCAGCGAGACTTGCGAAATTTCACTTTGTTATGAAGCCACTCCAGGTTTGTCGAAGAAAATGGTGGATAATCCAAATAACAGTGACATCGAGTTTTTTTTAATTTCCATATTAATAAGTTCTTTTACTCGTCTCATGAAGATACGTCAGCAGTTATTTTGACTCTTTACGATATACTGTAATTGGGGACTCTTTCTATTCGGTTTTTAGACGGTGTAAACCACACGCCAGGTGTATGGCCGCAGACTGACTGTCCTTATGGCAACGTATTCAGGAAAGACATACATCACTTATACAGCTTATTCCTGTTTAGAATAGTCGGGCTAACGATTGCCTATCAGTTTCATCATTCGGAGATGGTGTTTGAAATATCTCGTCCATTTTTCACTGTTCTACCTACCTTTCAGATGTAGCACCCTTTTGATGGCTAACTGCTATACCATCGGAAAGATGCATGTAGGCTGGGATACTGCCAGGTTGCCCAAGCCTAGATAGGGAAAGTCCAAGGGCCGGGGTTGGGTTCGAACCACGAACCTTCCGGTCAGTAAATTCGTGCTCTAACCACTGAGCCATATCGACCATTCCAGTTGAACCCTACCGAGAGTATCAAATTGGACCCGTAAGGTGTAGGTCAGCTTATTTCAAGAACTCTCCAACGCAGGTTCATGATGTTTTTCCGCGGTGTGGATGAGAGAACGCGTTTCAAATGCAGCACAACTGTGGGCTCGCCGGTAGCCCAATGTCTCTAACCAAACCAGTTAACTGCGATAGGTGCTCGGTACATAGCTCTCACGAAACCTGGGCGAAGCAAGCACGCCGAGACACTTTCTGGTTTCTCAATTTCAAAAAAGTGAATTGGAATCCCAAGACTCCGGCATCAGAAGGTCACTCTTTGGGCGATCTGGTGGGAAAACAAAGCAGTACAAAGATCGTGAAATTGTGGATCGGCTTCTCTCCAAACTGAATCATCAAAACACCATCGAAGTTTACCATGGTCTCAACCAAAAGGAAAAAATGACAGGAAGATAAAAACACGAAAGTCATTGTGAAAAAACAGACTACCTACGTGTTGTCAAAACTTCCAGAGCTCATCTTCTGAACCCCGTCTCGCTTGGAATGTCGATGTCGAACTCTTGAACGGCTTCCGGAAGACATGTGCCACAAATCACTGATACGATTGTGACTTAAATCCAAATGGACCAAAGACGTTGGGAAGAAATCACACGATGGGACGCTTTTCAGTCTATTGTGACTCGCATCCAGGTGTTGTAAACAGGGTGCCAAATGGGCCAACAAGGTGCTGGATGCAGGTGGTACGGTTTCTGAGACACGCGGGCAGTTGGATCGTTGGGGCATGAGAGTCTTCAACTTGTTGTGCTGAAGCCACAAATACTTCAGTACGGAATGTGGACCGGAAAGACTCACAGAGGAGGCTGTGAAATCTGAGAGTTGGAAGGAGACAGCTCAGTGGTTCACCACGTAAACTACACTTCTCAAGAGAACCATCAAGAGAACGTATAGAACCAACTGCCATGCGGAAAGACACGAAAAGAGGGAAGGTCGAATAATGAACATCTTACTATCCAGTTCCCTAATGGTTACGGTCGTGCCCCTCGGAAGTTAATCGATATGATGAGCGTGCATTCTGATTGGCAGACTAGAGGTACAAAACGGGCGTTTTCATTTTGACTAAAACATTGGTAAATACGCTTAGTTATTTGTAAGAAAACTATGAAGCTCAGAATCCAACGCAAAGAACTGAGCGTACTTACACCCTATCTGATGAAATGGATGCACAGCATAGTTATCACTTACCCATCCTGTCGGCATTCCGGGTGGGTTCAGATTGAAGACAAAAGACCGGGGAAAGTGCATTGGGGACGCAGCTGTGAAATTCCGGTTTGCACGAACTAACGGATGGGTCGGTGTTGGGTTCGCTCGGTGTTTCAACAGCCTGACAAATGGAGAATTTCAATTGCAGGTATGTTTCACGTGGAGCGGATCAAATCAATTGTGCGTTAACAACAAAACGGTGGGTATTAGCAGTAAAGGCCGATAAAATGAGGAAAAGGGGTTTCCAGTCCATCTGACACACTCAAAATGCAGCGACTGATCAGTGAGGCTCAATATAAGTCAATGGAAGGTCACTCAGATCAGTAGCTAATCATCATCACTTGTCGAAACACCAGGTGAGAAGACTGGTGCTTCCCTACCACAAAACCGTGTCAATTTATTTGAATAAAGCCATATAATGGAAAAAAGGAAGGAGTGGAGCAGTAGCTAGGGAAACTGTGCATGAGACGGTAAGTCGAAGATACAGTCAGTAAAGCCGGAATGGTTTTTGACTGCTACTATGGCATCCCAGAAGAGCGGCCAAGCGTTTTTACATACACTCGTAACTACTAATGACGCAACAGTAGACGGAAAATAACGTCAAAAGTAGTGGCGCGGCTGACAAAATCGAACAATGCACCATAAACGGGACTGCGTTAACCTGATGAGCACCAAGAAGGGCTAAAGAGGTCGTGAACAGTCGAAAGGTTTCCAACAACATTGTGAGTAGTGTATTATGTTTACACAATGTATCGCGACAACTCAAATACATGAGACGGCCTGGTGCAGAACATTTACTTGAAGAAAATCATAATCAAGGAATTCACCTGGGTTCTCTTCGAGGTGAGTCGTGAATATTTAATTGGTATGCAAACGAGTGTGTGTTGTAAGCCATTTTCGAATAAGGTTGAATAGCGTGGCGCGAATAGGTTTTGATTCTGAGTCAGAACGATAAGGCCGCAAGAATGGACGTCATCGAATCCGTGGCACTTGTGATATAACGGCAGAATACCATGCGGTTCGAATACAACATTCGGCGTAAATCGCGGGTTTGTGTTACACACTGGACAGGTTGCTTTACAAAACTGTATGTATTCATCAAAATACCTAAGCATTAGAGTGTCAGGTTATCCTAAAATGTCCGTGCGATTTCAGAGGTCGTAAGCATTGAATTATACAATCAGCTGCGCACCTGGAATCCAGCTGAATATCCCGTCTATGGCTGTTGGGCCCGATTCTTGCAGGCCATCATCCGGAATCATATTATACACGATCATAATGTATAATTACGAATAATAATCGTGCAGCTGTAACATCCTTTCGGTGCCTAGCTGCCATGCCATCCGAAAAAAGCAAGAGAGCTGTCAGGTTGCCCAAGCCTAGACAGGGGAAGTCGAGAGGCAGAGGTCGGGATCGAACCACGGGCCTTTCGGTCAGTAGATTCGCACTCTAACCACTTGGGCCATCTCGCCACGTAGTTACTAATACACTAAAAATAATAATGATAATATAATGCCCCCCCGTGTGTAATGTCAGCCTCAATACTAACATGACAGTTTGCTTGACCAACTAATCAAGTTCAATTGATTAGGGTTGTATTTCTAAACTGGTTACTTTACCCTGCATTATGTAACAGCATTTAAAATGTATGATTTACCGGGGGCTCAAGGGGGATTCTGTGCGTCAGGTTGACAATCTGCTGATACGTTTTTTCTTAGTTACAGGCAATCTGAGGGAAATCGACATGACTGACTGGGCTGTAACGGTTTGCTCGGTGAACAGATCAACTGCCAATGAGCACATCCGAGTTAGCAATATTCCAACACAGTGTCGATAATACCTTGAGTACGATTTCGAGGCGGGTGATACGCAGCATCAGCACAACGCAGCCGAAACGCAGGACACAATAAGATTATGACAGCGTTCGCAGTTGTCTTTTCAAGTGGGGTCATCGAATTGGGGATGCAGATCGATGAGTGGAAACAAACAGGTCGGTTTGTAAGACAGAACAGAAATGAAATGCTAATGGGGGCCACACAGATGGACCGAGAAACTCGTTCTTGAGCCCATAACCCCACAAGGACATACCATAGGTGAAGATTACATCACTGATCTCAAACTTCCTAACAAAAGTTCATAAATCGGTCGGTCCGGTTGGAGCATATCGGGCGATCAATCATGGAGCAAGTGTGAGAAAAGATAAGTATGTATGAGGATAAGGATAGGGTAGGTTGAACGAAGAAACAAGAGGAAGATCGTAGGAGTGCGGTGCAGGATGTCGGGAGGGAGGAGAAAGCCCTATGCTGCATTCACCCGGATGGATCAGGGGTAAAAACAGACACTGAATATAGAAGTTCACATATGGTGAACGAGTGTAAACATGAAAAAGTGAAGAGAACGACGTGTCCTCGAGGTACTACATATTCCGGATGGCAGGTGCGCGGGGATAGCTTACCAAACAAGGCCTGGAAGCATACAGAGTGGGTGTGAAGTTGTTCACGGTAGCAACCTGATGAGCAGTGTTCTGTCAGGTGTTAGCATCACCATGTTATCTACCATGCTACAGTTGAGTACACGCAAGTAGGCGAATCATAGGATCCATCCGAAAGCATAACACCGTGAGGCAATGAAAAAAGACATGCGAACTCGTTGCCAACCGGGGCAACAGGAGGACCAGAGTTCTACATACGAGTAAAAAGTGGGATCAAGATGATAATTCCAAACAAGGAGGTTGCAAACCGGTCATCTTATTGAGTTTAGAAGATTTCTTCTTTATAAAAAATGTCAGTTCACATAAGCAAATAGAGACGAATGCAGCAGATTTCTAAAACAACAGAAAATCACCACCTGGTGAATAGTACTGGAATTCAAAGTTTTTCCTTGTACTGACGGTAATGCGTCAGTTTAGTTCTCCGTTGGAAACTTCCAAGCTAGCGTTCCCGTCAAAACAACCACTAAAGGTGCTGTATTCACGCCAAAATCCAGATCAAGAACCCATGTACAACCCGCCGTACATAGAGTGCATGCGGCGGTAACATTCTGGAAATTCTGACACCTGGATGCGCCACTGGCAACCGGCATTCAGAGGATAGTGGGTTATGATTGGCTGTTGCATCAAGTATTTCGGCCAATCAGGGCTCGCATTGATGCTGGACCGGGAAGCGATCCGATCTTCTGGCCGACCACCTGCGAGATACACTTCAGGCCCGTGAGCACCCAACTGCGACCGGTAATTCGGTACCAGTGCGGAATTCCACCTAAGACCCTTGTGCCCCTAACTTCAGCCTGGGATTTGACTGCGAATCAGCGATGTTGTTTCGCTGAGCTACCTCCGGCGCCACGCAAAAGGAGACTGTGAGAAGCTCAATATTGCTTTCAGGTCTTTGAGTAGTCCCCAAATTCGCGCTAGCAAATTGTACGGAGGCCAGCCGTCCCTAATAACCGAACATCACATCATTTGGATGGACGTGTCACGTGCAGGACACGGACCAAACGGGGCATGCTCTGATTGGTCAAAATGCCAACCAACCGGATCGAGCATCTTTGACTCGACGCTTCGCGTCCCGTCACGGACCTTGTGGAACACTCTGTGATTACCTTATAAATACAGATGTAATGATTCTCCTTTTGTCTTCATAAAGGGCTGTGTAGAGCTACGGTGCCTTTTGATATACCATAGTGGGCGGAGCAGGAAGCCAAGGGACCGATACAGAGTTGCACTACCGTTCAACAAGACACAACACAAATCGTGTTGCAAAATTCACCCTCTTCCCCTGTACAGACCGCTTATTAAGTCCTCATATTTTCTCCCATTCAGATGGCCACTTATGCACAAAATCCGTCCAGCAGTGAAAATGAATCAGATGCCCTACTTCTGTGGGGTAAGCAAATTTACCGCCAGTACACTCCGGTGATCCCCGTCCATTTCCACGGTAAACGTTTCTTTGTCTCACACGAGCACCCATCATGCGTGCGTTGTACGAGGCCGTAGTTTAGAGGTGAACGTAAGGATAGCTTGTAATCAGCGTATCCAATATACACCAATCGCAGATTAATACACTTACCGCCTATGTGCAGTGCGTGACGGCTAATGCCGATTTACCCATGGATTGCCTTCTTTACAGAGTTGTTGGGAAGCATGGTCTCATCCTTAATGGGAATCCCGAACCTCCGGAGATATTCAAACCTGCTACATCGTGGCGAGTAGTTGAGGGTCAAACTGTCCGGCCATGAGCGGCTGACAGGTAGTATGATTAAGCTACGGTTAGTTGCTGCCATGCGACACGAAGGAGGCACGAGGGCTGGGATACTGCCAGGTTGCCCAAGCCTAGACAGGGGAAGTCGAGAGGTGGAGGTCGGATTCGAACCACGGACCTTCCGGTCAGTAAGTTCGCGCTCTAGCCACTTGGGCCACTCGCCTCGGTTGAGGATCGGCGAACTTTGAATCACAAGTGTCTGCGCATAAGACAACACCGAAATCTGTTGGTTCAAGCTGAAAATGAGTACTACTCTGTTGATAAGACGACCCATGATGGTCGTACGTTTCGGACTGATGTGTTAGAGTTCCAATTGAGCGTTTATAGGACGATGGAAATCGGCAAATTATAAAAGGCGAATTATAAAAGTAGTATCGAACTCTTCAGAAAAATGCATGAATCGGGCGGTGATGGAATACGTTGGGACGACGTTTGCTAGTTTAGAATACAATATACTCGAATACGGGACTCCGTAAGTCAGTTCACTTCCGGTAGAATTCGGTTTGTTCAACTGAACACCCCCCCCCCACTTTATCGACTGCTCAAAACACAAGTCGATCCAAATAAAGACAATAATGTGGCAATGTTTTCCATACTGCTGAGCGAGATGGCTACTGCTTAGAGAGCGAATTTAGTGATCGGGAGGTCCCCGGTTCGTACCAGACCTCTGCATTTGGACCTCACCTGTCTAGGACAGTATCCCGGTCCTCGTGCTTCCTTCTGGTGGCATGGCAGCTGGCCCTTGGAAGGGTGTTTCAACTGAATGACATTTCGCCAGTTTTTTATACTGCACTGAACGTCCAGTTTCTTGTTACTGTGCTTAACCCGAATAAGTTAAGTCCCAAAAAAGAAAAGCGGAACAAGCGAGGTCCGGATTCGGTCCGCACATAAATCTGATTTTCTTGTTGCATGAAAATGTTTAAAAACAATGCAATGGATTTTCAGTGAGAGGAATCTTGAAATGGTCCACAAGGCGATTTGATTGTCAGTACCCAGGTGCCACGCTGCCCAAGCGGAAGCATAAGGACGGAGAGATTGTCCAAGCCTAGACAGGAGCAGTCTGAATGGCGGAGTTGGGTTCGAACCACGTACGTTTCAAACGGTAATTTCACTCTCTAACCATCGAGTTCACGCGACCTTGCAGTGTCGAGTTTATGGTGTTCATTACCGAATTAAAAGGAGTTTTGGCCTTACTGTAGAACATTGGTACGTGGCGTGGGTTCATTTGTCGTCGACGTGTTTACCGCACTTGGAAACAGGTTTCCTTGACGAACAGTACCGACAGCATTGCAAGATTGTGCAAGCTCAAACCCCAACCCCATGTTTGCGGATGAGCAGATTGAGGTGGTAGACAAATTAGTTCACCTGGGCAGCTTTGCGAAATATGATATATTCATCCAAACTGGGAAGGCCAGAGCAGCTTTCGTGAACCTGCGGGGTAGGGTTGGGTTTACAATGCTGCGGTGCGCTCCATATTGCTATACGGATCAGAAACCTGGCCGCTGGGCGCCCAGGAAGTCAACAGACTTTCAGCGTTTGACCATCGACGTATTCGGAGCATTGCCCGAATCTGGTTGGAACACCGATCAGCAATGCTGAAGTATGTCGAGTGGTATTCGGAGGAAATAACTCACCATCGATAGATGAACTGATCGCACTCCATAGATTGCGCTGGCTTGGCCACGTGCTGCCTATGCCAGTCGACACTTCTTCGAAGTGTTTTTTTCGCACAACCACGTGAAGGGTGGAAACAGGCCGGGGTCAAGCAATGACTTGGCAGAGAAGTATGAAAGTAATTACTAGCAAACTCAGTTGAGGTGGTTATTGTCGTCTCCTGGATGGGGACTCCGAGACGGCTAGAGACACCGTCAGACGTGGCCCGCTCGTGCGTTCAAGCTATTGCCTTCAATGCATAACTCCCATCCCAATCTCCCCAATGAAAAGTCCACTGGGAACCCTTACGCACCAGCTATATGATCTCCCACCTCCAATACGCAGCTGCCTACCCCACTGCTCCAAGTCATCGATAAACGAAATTGTGGCAGCCATAACCACTGTACGACAAAAGGGCGGTTGTACAGCCGACGATGATGATGGTGACGACCAGGCCGGGATGGCTCAGGCATTAAGGCACAAGCTTACTGACCGGAAGGCCCGCGGTTCCGACCCAACGTCCGTATATCCCCTGCTCCTGTCTAGGCTTGGGCAACTTAACAATATCCAAGCCCTTGTGTCTCTTTCGGTTGGCATGACAACTAGGCACAGGAAGTGTGTTACAGCCAAACGATTACTTTAGTTTTACCTAACTTGACTGTCAAGCGACGGTTTCTTTATTCGTACCTTCCAACTTAGAGCAGCTTTCACAGTGACGCTCGGTTCGGCCGCACAAGGATGAACCGACGATGATCACGATGTTCGGGTACACCAATCACATCGCTCGAGTGTGAACACGTTTGCCTGTCCAGACGTGAAAATTCAGATGCGTCCAAAGTGCGTTGGTGGGGTAGTGGTTACACACTCGCCTCGCATGTCACATGTCCGGGGTTCGAATCCCGGCACGGCCATTGGATATGCACTGCTGATGAGCTCTGATAAAAGCGAAATTCGAGTCCACTGCTTCCCTTTGGTGTGGACACACCGGAACAATCACAGCAGAACAGGAGGACTACCGTTCAAACGAAAGTGGTGTGACTATGAACCAAAAATTATGCAAAACCCGGCGAAAACATCGAGCAAACCAACAAGAACCATCTGGATGCAGTGAGCTACCCACATTTCCTTCAACCGATGATTCCACGTTGCCCAAGAAAGAAAAAATTGACGTGACGCATACAAACAAGTCACATCAACCTGTCAACTCTAGCCAATCCGATTAAGTGTGGGCACATCCACCACCGTACAACCACACTTGGTTTACACAAATGCCGATTGGACGACATCGATTGCGTGTGAATTTCAAACCGACACAGCTGTTTGGAAAAGCAATCTGTACCCTAAACAGAATGCTGACCTCACGCTCACAAAAAGAATGCTAATTTTGACACAGGTCAATGAACACTAGCTCAGAAAAGACTTCCTCTCTGTCCAGCACACACAAGCGCAAGCAAATGGACAAAAAGGGCAGTGGCTTTTGAGTGTACACTCTTGAGAATGCACATCATTTTGAAGGCAAAAACAGTCACACGTGACGACCTGGTGTGGATCCCGTGAGTGAAGGATAAACGGCGCTGTCTATGCGTAAGTCACTCGCACCGTTGATCAGCCGCTCGCGGTTTAGTGTTCAAACTACTGGGTTCGAGGATCCCTGGAATTTCGTGGGATGCGCAACGTTAATGGTTTACACTGGGGGTTAAATAGCTGTGTAGTGCTTCTCGGGTTTCTGGCACACATTGACGAAGGCTCAATTGGAAAGGACTAGCCCACGAATACGTTCCTGACAATACCCGGATGAAGACGACAGAAATCTAACAGAAAAACTGTCGTGACCCAAACGGCCAGGTGTCGATGGGCGGGTAGGATAATCACGTGGACTCTGAAGCATCTGCGGGTCTTCGTCGGGAATGGTGTGAAGTGCTAAACTACTTCAAATGATGTTGTTGTGACATGATGAACGGTCGTGCAACTCTGTGTCGGTCCATGGCTTCTGCTCCATGGACTCTGAAGCATCTGCGGGTCTTCGTCGGGAATGGTGTGAAGTGCTAAACTACTTCAAATGATGTTGTTGTGACATGATGAACGGTCGTGCAACTCTGTGTCGGTCCATGGCTTTCTGCTCCACCCACCGTGGTTTATCACAAAAAACACAGTCGCTTCAGATAGCCCTTTAAGGAGACAAAGGGAAATCGGTACAACTGTATTTGTATAGGGTAATCACAGAATGTTTCACAAGGCCGTGCTGGAACCTCCGCGTCGAGCTAAAGATGCTCGATACAGATTGGCTGCCATTCTGACCAATCAGAGCGTGTGTTCATTTGGTCCGTAGCCCGCGCGTGACAAATCCCTATAATTGATTCTATGTTCAGTTATTAGGGACGGCTGACCTCCGGGCAAGTGTTCCGTATGAGCTACTCTGTCTGGATACGAAAGTTGGTCAGGTTTCATGGGCTATAGGCCATGTACTACGAACTACAAGGAAGAATCAAGCTTTCTGTCCAGCTACAGAGGAACGGACAAGGATCCAGGCGTGATAGCCTTGTGACAGTCTTATTCAGCCTCAACTATGCCCCACATTCGAGCTCGCCACGGTGAGTGGACGGAGGACACTCGCACGCCGCTAGACACCAAATGAACTTTTCCGAGTACTTGGCTCGCTCAGCTCGCCCGAGACTGCGGTGGCTGCATATAATGAACTCCACGGAGGAAACTAATGGAACAACAGCGGTGGCCTGATTAACAGTGCTCCGACACTCGAGTTAGTACCTCTACCAGAATTTCATCGTGTATCAGCGACACCACTGATGAGTTGAAAATCGCCTACACAGACACACTGAGTCTCGATGGTGATGTCTCACTGTTATACAAACGCGAAGCTCATTTAGTTACATTTAACGTCATAAAGGGAGTGAGTTTGCAACAGACCTGGTGCTAGCCTACCAGCAACACCTTCAAAAACATCCAGACGCACGGTTAGACAATCCGGGGAAAACAGATACCGGTTGGCTTCCACCGTTTGTTACTTCTCCACGAAGACCACCTGCACCCAATCCTGGAAAGCCTACGGCACAAATTGTATCCAAAATCCGCCTCATCTCCTGCACGCCTTACTACTGGGTCACATGCCGTTCAACTCACAGGTTTTATGAAGGCGAGATGGACCAAGTGATTAGAGTGCGAACTTACTGACCGGAAAGTCTGTGGTTCGAATCCGACCTCTGCCTCTCGACTTCCCCTGTCTAGGTTTGGGCGACCTAGCAGTATCCCAGCCCCCGTGTCACATTTATGTGACATGGCAGCTAGGCACTGAAAGAGTGCTACAGCTGAACGATTATGATTATTCATTCACCGTATGTATCATCTGAAGAAAACAACACTCAACACCACATCGATGCGAATTGGAAAACGTGATTCCTGCGCTAGCTTCATCATCCACACTTTCGATGAAGCTTGGACAACTACCGAGTTAGGTAAAGCTCTCCGCGGCTTCAAGCGCTTCTCTGTGTATTGAAGGCGCATGGTGAGGGAGTGAACATTCTGAAGTGTGACTGGGCACTTTGCAGGTGCTAGACACATTCCGAAGGATTGCATACTTTTGGCCGGTCCATTCAGGTGTGCTTTTGTGTTGACTTCATCTTCGAAGATTGGTACGTTGTGGTCTTAAATTGTGACGTTCTCGCAAGCTTGCTTACGTTCTCTTTTGAACAACACTCGCCGTTCGACGACATTCGCAGATGCGTGTCACAGTCGTAGAAATGGCGAACCAATCAATGTGATATGAGATGAGATGACCGTTCAGCCGCGACACCCTTTCGATGCCACCCGAAGGAAGCACGAGGAGTGGGATACTGCCAGGCTGCCCAAGCTTAGACAAGGGAAGTCGAGAGGCCGAGGTCAGGTCCCAAGCACGGACCTTCAGGGTAGTAAATTCGCGCTCTAAACATTGAGCCACCTCGCCCCGAATGCTCTATAAATACACATTAATTAATTCGCGCTCTAACCATTGAGCCACCTCGCCCCGAATGCTTGAGTTATACCTAGCCCAAAAAAGCTACAGGGAAAAAGTTGCACTACTGTGACCAACGGAGTTCTGAAAGGCTCAGTCAATCAATCGATCGATCGATCGATCAATCAATCAAAAGATAGATTCATGTGTGTGCCGGACGGGGAGGTTCACTAGTTATTTCGCCCAAACAAACCAACTCGTGTTACCGTAGTGCGAGCACAACATATCGCACACCTGCTTTCAATCGAGGAACCAAACGTGTTTTGAATGGACTGGATGACCTTCGGGGTTGATTGAGTAATCGTCGTTTCAAACAAATTTGGCAAACAATAATCCACCGATTGTTTACTAAACATCTTTGGAATTAGACGTGTCCTTTCCCGTAAGTAGAAAACCACTTATCGATGGCTAGACGGATGAACTCCAGTAGCACACGAAATTGATATCTGGGTTGGCATTGAATATCGATAAATGGCATCAATCCAGCACATGACCAAACGCATGAGAGATGGGTGTGAGAAGTTTTGTCTGACAAAAAAAAACCGTCTCAATCAATCAATTCAATTTATCAGCTGCTATAAACCGTGTGTCATAGGCACATTGGTTCCAGCTGCTACAATTTCGATCACCGGAAAACGGGAAGGTGGGGCATACAACCAAGCGTTGGAGACGGAGGCATGTTCCGTCTGTTCGGAAATTGCGAAGCTATGCATTGGAGGCGATAGCTTCGATGCATGAGGACCACTGATTGCGCGATTGGGCCATTTCCTCCAATGTCAATAACCACTACTAATTTGAGTCCCGGGGTCCCCATCCAGAGAGGCGGCAGTCGTCCACTCGACTTAATTTACCGGTTAGGGTTTTCGTACTTCGTTGTCAGGTCATGCATTGTTCACCTCTCGGTCGCTTCCACTCAGTACAGGGCTGGGCGAAAGGAGCTCTGTGAGGCAGACGGTCTTCTGACATGCGAAGTACATGACCCAACCAGCACAACCTATGAAGCGTGAGTAATTCATCCATCGCGGGGGAGTTCTTTCTTCCTAAGACCATTTGGCGTACCTCAGCATTACTGACGCGGGAAACATAAAACCCAAGAGAAAGGCTACAGCCCGACGATCTCGTTGGCTGGTCAGCTGATTAACTCCAAATAGGCTAACGAAAAGAGAGCACAATAAAAGAAAAGGTTCGTGGGTTTTTTTTCTGGTACTCGATGACCTTGTTCCAAAAGCCCGGTCCAAGAGAATCCCACAGCCATTTGCAATTTAGCCTCGATTGGTTGGGGGTAGGTGTTTAATAACAAGCAGAACAGGTGGAATACTCACGTCTAGCGCTGTGAAGCTGGCAGACCGTCCGTTTGTGTCTAGGTCGGGTGGAGCAGGCAAGTACTTCAAAGCGTTCCAGCTCAGATCCAGAAACAGTATGGTTCCTGAAAGCCACATCTCACCCGGCAACGTTGACAATTGATTGTTCGATAGCATCAGATGACTGATAGAGCCCAAAGTGTGACAATGTGTAGCGGGACAGTGGGATGGGAGGCGATCCAAAGACTGGGTAGATCTTTCAGGCGTCGTGGTTCCATTGTGACCGAGCGCTAGATGGGTATTTCCAAAAAGCCACGGCGGAAGAGATCGTAGGTTGTTATGTGACAAGTCCAGGTAGGTGAGTGAACTGGCCCACTGGAAGCAAGCCGATCGAAGATTCGGCGGTTCTGAAGGAAGATCTGTGATGTGGTTCCAACTAAGATCAGCCTCCTGCAAAAGTGGTGAGGAAACAGAGTGGGACAGGGTACAATAAGATTGGAGATTGCATACCTAGAGGACGCCGCAAATTAGGCGTGAGCACAGTATCAGAGAACCGAGTCCAAACAAGATAGAACAATGAAAAGAAATGACGAATCGTCGAGTGAAAACTGAATCGAATACATAGCTTCAAACAGTCACAGTCAAGGTAGATTACGCCATTCGCTTCTGCAAGGGCACGAACAGTTGCGGCGTGGTAATGGTTCATTCGTAAGAGACCAACTGCAGAGAAGCGGATCACCATGGAACATCAACTTTACGGACATCTGACCACCGAGCCAGGGCAGTTTGTTGGATTGGGTGATTGGTTTTAGAACCAGAGAGAAAACGTCGGTCCATGGTTCGAGCCTCGGCAAACGGAAATCAGATGAGCTCAACCAGGCATGAAACAGCTTTTTGTTGCTTAGCAAATTATGAGTACTTTGAAAATTGCTTCAAAGAAGGAAAAAAATACTCAGCTGAAGCACCCTTTCGGTGCCTAGATACCATGTCACCCAAACGAAGAATGAGAGCTAGGATACTGCCAGGTTGCCCAAGCCTAGACAGGGGAAGTCGAGAGGTAGAGGTCAGGTTCGAACCACGGACCTTCCGATCAGTAAATTCGCGTTCTAAACACAGCCATCTCGCTTGAAAGCCGGTTGAAATTCGTCCCCGTGAAACACAAAGACGATCAATATGGCAAACCCAAGTGCCAAAACATGTGGGGACAATTAGGCAATCGGAATTCACGGCATACAACGATAGCTCGATGATCCGCAACGCACACATAAGACGCGCCCGATGCACACATATGGCCAGTTGGTAGTAGACAGTAGACAGATAAGACTCCAGAAAGATGGTAACAAAAGGTTGCCTTCGTATGCTTGCAGACTTCTCACTCCCAAATGCTCGGCACGTGTATTTGAGGATCCAAGTGGGAACAACCTAACAATGGTGTTCAGTATGATTTTTGTTTAACTAGGGGCCAATCAAACAACTAAGCATGGGGCTTTGTGTGTCCACGGTTTGAGATAGTTCCATCAATTCGGTTATGGTCACTGAAAGCCAATGTCAGTACTGTCAGAGACTTAACATCACTGAACACTTAGTGGATTGGGGGGGGGGGTAAACAACCGGATAGTGAGCCTAACGATGTTTGCTTCGAATAAGGCCAATTTACAAAGCATGGGGTTCCACGACAAGCTGTGTTTGGCAAACTCTAGTACTATTCTTCAACCGAACGTGTTGCACCAGGCCGCCTGGAGTTTCAGCTTGTATGACATTCGGTTGACGGAAACTCCGGGATTCATGACTACTCAGGAAGGACAAAACCGGTCGTAGGGTGTTGAAGAGTTTACAGAAACCTTATGAGTAGTGTGCTACGTCTATACGATGTATGGAGACATCCCCGATATTGTACTGACTGAAACACGGGGTGGCCTGGTGCAGCACATTCGATTGAAGAATATCATAGACGGGAGATTCGGTAGAGATTCAGGTGAGTCACGCGTGAAAAACAAGCACATTGGATTTGTCGAATTTCGTGTAATTTAGGTTGAAGTAGAACATGATGTTGAGGGATGCTCCCGGACGGCGATTTATCTAATGAGCCCAAGAAGGGCGAAGCCGGTCGTAACGGTGACACTACTGATGGGAATGCACGCGAGTAGTATGTGTTGTTCGTGGAATTTCGCTTGAACGGGGGAGATCTTTTGCGGAATTTGTGGAGTCGCTTTGTAACGGTTGCTTTGATTTGACCGAGGAATGATTGGAGTCAATGCACATCCAGGAAAGTTCAAGGTGACGCGTTCAGGAGAAGCTAGATGTCCAGTCTTTGTAAATACGATGAAAATGAGAGTTTTGCTTCCCTATCCAATGGTCTGTAACCGGTCAGTTGGCATTTCCTGGTAAATAACTCCGCATAGAAGGCCTTCTTCCTTTCACTAGTACTTCGAAGACATAAATACAGTCTGCCCTAAAGGAAACTACTCACAAGGTTGCTGAAAACTCTTCGACAATTGGTCTCGCCCTTCTCGGGGCTCATCAGGTAGGCGCAGTTGCCGAGTTTCCGTCAATCTTATGTTCTACTTGAACCCAAATCGGACTGTTTTCGAGAAATACACTCATTTGCAAATCAATTTGGTTTTCACGAGAGACTCAACTGAATCTCTCGTTTATGATATTCTACAACTGAATGTGCTGCACATAGGCTGCCTCATGATTCAGTAGGCACGATAATCGAGAGATCGCAGTAGGCTTTCATCAAGGAAACTACTCACAAGGTTGTTGGAAAGTGTTCGACAGCCCATGACCGGTTACGCCTATCCTTTTTACATCTACTGGTAATAAAGTGTCGGTCTTCTGGCAGTCGCCAAAAGCTTATCACCGCAGTAGCTGATCAATACCGGCTCACGCGACATCACTTGCGTTAGTCGGGGTGGCATCGCACTTGTGGTCAACTGTTATACTGTTCAGCCTCTAAACCGGAAATCATGGGTTCTAATCAGCCAGAATTTTAAAGTGTGAACACGGGTAAACTAATTAGCCGCTACTTGGCACAGCTTTGTGGAACTTCCGGCACAAAATCTCAATTGAAAGTCTCAAAGACGACCGCGGCGGTTTCCATCACACATGTATATCGCCAATCGTTCGAATGGGGGAACAGCTGACTGTGAGAGAGCGAAGGTCAAGTCGCTCATTCCTCAAACTGTGCTGTCAAACTGCCGGAACCGAGTATGGCAAAAACCTGGTAAGAACTTGTCTATCAAAGTCCACTAACAGGTACTGTACGCATGACAAGTGTTGAGGTAGTCGATTGGTCATGTGATACGACACTTGTCCTGTGACTATCGAATCGTTCTGACTCGCTGTCAATCTGTATGCTTCACTTATTCTAGCGATGGGATCACACGACTTTCAGATACTGTTGAAGAAAGCAGTACTTCTGAGACACACACACACGTCGTGTCGCTGTTTGTGATGATGTGACGCTGAGGAACAGCAAGTTGGCTGTAAGCTGGATTCGGTAATACCTCTGAAACGGGCGTCAGGAATAAATGACATGCAGAAGGCAACTTGTGACGATGTATTGAAAAATTCTAGTTCTATGATGAATTAGAGCTCAACATCTTCCACTTGGTGTACAATCGTGAAGACCAGAAGGAAGTTTTGCACAGGTTCAAGGTAAGCTTCAGCGAGCTTGCAATAGGCATCATAGTATCAGATAGCTGTACCACCCCTTCCGTGCCTAGCTGCCATGTTACCCGAAGGAATCACGACGGCTGAGATAATGCCACGTTGTCCAAGCCTAGAGAAGAATATTCGTTCGTTCTGGTGTAGAATCCTCCCGGTGTTCAACCGCCATGCCAGGTTGCCCAAACCTAAACAAAGGAAGTCGAGAGGCAGAGGTCGGGTTCGAACCACAGACCTTCCGGTCAGTAAATTCACGCTCTAACCACCTGAGTTATCTGGCCCCCCGACAAGAATATTCGAAAAGCCGGGAGTGGGTTCGAACCACTGCCCCTCCGACCAGTAAGCTCGCGCCCTAATCACTGAGCCATATGAAGCTCAGTGGCTGAATTGACGTTAACAACAGTAGAGCATCGTCGACCTTGAAATGTGAAATCCAATATATACATATAAGCCGAACGAAAGGCCTGTTGCTACAGTCAAGAGACCGACTGGCTGAGCTCATGGGGATGCTCTCCAAGTCATAGCCAAGTACTTAAACCTCAGATGTGGCTCCGGGACACATCAAATGTATCGTCAAATAGGCGGTGGGATAGCATGATGAAGAGATCGCACTAACCTGAATATTGGGTAGGTCGTACAAAAGACACAATGGTAACACTTGGAGCCCACAGTGAGATAGTGAAACCTTCGTGATCGATGAGAACGCCTCCAGGCCTGTGAATGTTGAAGCCATCCGGACGACCCATTCGGAAACCAGTCCGTTCAACAACAACCACATGGACGGGCTAATGGTGTTCGATCCGAGACACTTATGGGATAGATTCAAGTGCAATCCTTGCAGCCCGGTAGTTGGACTGACAGGGGCTATCACGTGCTTGGTGAGCAGCAGTCCGGCCAAACGATAGTGGCGACGGAGAACTGCAAGGTGGAATATTGTCTGTGCTTCGTCGAATGCACCAGCATCGAGGAGAAGGTCGGCTATATCATAAGCAGCCTAAAACAGAGTGGAGAGACAGAAAGACGAGAGGTTTTCACGAGTATGGTCATCATAGAACCGTGTGCCGAGGCCAGCTGTCAACATCCAAGTGAAGAAGTCAGGCAGGGAAGAGAAACTATCATCATCATCATCATTGATAGTAGCATAGAAAAATACGAAGAAAAACTAAATAGTGAAGAAAACGAACAGTCTGACTAACCTCAGGGCATAACTCAGCCAGGTAGCAAGTCAGACCCAGCGGGGTAAGAGCGATCTCACGACGAGGCGCTGGACTCGAGAATTCGGTCAAACTATCACTCACCAAATGCACGCATTGACCGGCAGTCACATTGACATCATCTGTGAAGTAGTCACTCACGAGCAATCTGACCATTTCCACATTGCTGCAGGATGAAGAACAAAACAGATGTGGGATTTTTGGAACGAGGCAAGACCACAAAAGCCACTATCGAATACAGTTTAGCATTGGACAACGTAGTGTTGTAAGGCGGTGTGACTTGTAGAGATTTCGCGACTATTGGACCGTCAGACTGTCAAACAGTCTTCATTAGTGAAATATCGATGCTCGAACGAAAGGAATGAATGCACAATTCGTTGGGAGAGCGTATCCACGTCGGGCACTTTGGATATATCAGAAGTGAACCAGTATGTGACGGTTATCCACACTAAATCGGAAACCGATTCACTTACACGATCCGCAACTACCTACGTGTAAACGACCAGTCAATAACCGATACTAAGCCATTACCGGAAGCTGAGAATAGCGACACGGTGGCCACAATTGACAGACAAGCTGTTTTCCGTTACTTCCCGGAAGTACACAAAGTCGGATAAATGCAAAGAGTGTACGGGGAACACTGAGATCATTTTTCCTTGATTATGGTGTCGTCTCACGGAGAGAAATCTCGGATAAATGCGTGTTCATGTCATGTATAATGACCCCAGTGGCGTTTGACCGCCGATGATTGACTGCCATGATATACTAGCTCCCCGATAATTTATCCATTTTATGTGCTCAGACCGATCGATATAATACTATTAATCAATAATTATCCATCTGTAACACCCTTTCGGTGCCTAGCTGTCATGCAACGCGAAGGACGGAAGCAAGAAAGCTGGGATACTGCCAGGTCGCCCAAGCCTAGACAGGGGAAGTCGAGTGGCAGAGGTCGGGTTCGAACCACAGTAAGTTCACCACGTGACCACTAAGCTATCTCGAATCTGAAGCTTACTGACAAGATTTCCCTTCGGGCAAACGTGATTCTATGGGGAGGTTCTCATTAGAATATAATCCATTAAAAAAAGACTTCCTACCAGTCCTAGGCAGTATATTGGTGAAATGAATAGAAAAACATACCCTGAGAGGACCGCCAGATGCAGGGCATTGAACTGCCCACAAATACTGCTAAAGTTGTCTTGACAGTGACTGCCAGACGGATGGACGGTAAGCCGAGCACACACATCTGTGGAAGACTGGTCTGAATACGCCCATTCCCAACAAACGGACACGGTACGTCTCAGATCAACCGGGCAAATGGTGCGCTTGAGTGACACAATGCTGCAACGTTCCGAATGCTCTGTTTCCGTTTCACTCGGTTGAGGGGATGGCTCTATGTACGGAAGTTCATCGCCAACACACTGAGGCGTAGACAATTCGTATTGGCCAGGTAGCCGCTGAACAGGAACCTCGAATCGAAGGAGTTCGCGGACAACTTCAACGTGGCCGTTGATGACGGACAACATCAGCGGCGTCAAGCCGTAGGAATCCATCTGATCCAAACTGCGATCACGTGGGTGAGGACGAGAAACAACAGATTCATTAGATGAAAACCAACAACACAGTCAGTTGGGGTCCTGGAACAAACTTGTCCTCAGCAACACACAAAAAAAATTGGACACTCGGGTTTTGAAACGATGATCTGCCGTGGATCGATTGTAACACGGCTGAATTACATTGAATCATGAAGTAACTTTGGAGTCGACAAATACACTTAATTGAAAAGTACTTGAGTTTTTATGGGAGACTCGACTGAATCTCTCGTTTATGCTATCCTACAACTGAATGCGCTGCACACAGGCCGTCTCATGTTTCAGTTGGCGCGATATTCGAGATATCGCAGTAAATTTTCATAAAAGAAGCTACTCAGAAGGTAGAAGAGTTTTTTAGCTACCTTTGGAGTCATTATTACCGAAACCACGAGGGTGAATTCGGCTTCCAGTTTGAGACATCCAACTGTGCAAGCCAAAATACTAAATTAATAATGTATCCGATGAGCACTTTCATAAGAGGTAATCAAAATGGCATCACTTAAAAGCTTGAAACACTCGCTAAATGTTTATTTCCGAACAAACTCTAACATCCAAAGAGTCGCGTTGATTTCCGACGAATACTCACCCCTTGTCAAGTAAACTAAGTAGCTGGGAGCAGGCAGACTTCGCATGGAGCCGACGCATACAAACCGTACCACGCTTCAGACCAAATGAATGTGAAATGGAAAAGAATAATCCATGTTTCACACTTTCGTCGCCTTCAAGACACCAGAAATGATTCATCTGTAACACCTTTTCGGTGGCTAGCTTCCATGTCACCCCAAAGGTGGCTCGAGGGCTGGGATACTGCCAGGTTGCCCAAGCATATACAGAGGAAGTCGAGGGGCAAAGGTCGGGTTCTGAACCACGGACTTTCCGGTCAGTAAATTCGCGCTCTAACCACTTGGGTCATCTCGACCATCAGTTAGGATGTTCAGAACGGACAATTTGACATGATATGCGGAAGCAAGTACCAAGCGGTATAAAGATAGACCCTGAATGGAACCTATGTCCGAATCCAAAGACAAAGGCTGACCTACTGAGTCTGTTCGTTTAATTTTGTCATCAGGCTAGTCTCATTAAGGAAAAAGGCGGGCCCAATACAGTTTGCTGCAATTCCATAACGAAGCGGACAGTGTACTCACCAAAACGGAAACTGATAGGTAGCTGGCAGTCCATCCACACGACAAGAGTGCGATTGGTGATTGATTGCTGACTGACCCACATCTCTGAGTAGATCAGGTGAGCAAGTCGAACTGGTGCTGACATCCTGTTCTGCTTCCGGAGTCGTAGCACAGAATCCGTTAGGACCCCGCCTTGAATGGTGTAGCAAAGCGCGCAGACAGTCCAGTCGACCCCAAGCAGCAGCGGTGTGTATCGGCAGGGCACCCAAACCCCGAGTTGGAAGGGATATTTTGGAAGCAGCTGGATCCCACTTGGACGAAAAAAACAACATATCACAGGTCGCTGGGAGGCCATAAACCAATGGATTTAACAATACATACAAAGGCAGTGGCCTGCTTTAACATCTGTACTTCGAAGACACTAAATCCCAACTCACTCAGACGAGGAACGACGCTTCACGTGCATTCTGATCAGAGCATGGTTGAGTAGTAATCGTCGTGGAATAACTACTCACCGTTATCCTGAAACCCTGGAGCTGCGGCGATCCAATAAGCATAAGGGCTGCTCCAAAAGTGCGATGGTCCCTCAGAGGAAACAGACCCTTTCGGACGACCCTCGATGGTCACTGGTACATTCAGATGGCAACACAGCGAATGACAACACAACTGAACTGAACAACTATACGCGAAGACAAATGAATTGTGCACACAAATTCACACTGTACAAACAAACCCAGCCGAACTTAAACTAAATATTTGTCCACAGTACATACTACATTTAAAAAAAACAGACATGTGGCGTCTAGAGACAGACCACCAAACTGAGACAGATCGCCGAACTTGGTTGCTGAATAGTCAAGTTACACTTTGGTTGAACTGAGCCGGTGGGACATGGGTCGAAGAACCCACAACTTCAAGTACTTTGTAATATTGCGTAAAAAGACCTCCGCTTTGACGACGTCGGTGGGTCATCTCTATCACCATTGGATGACCTATCCAGGACGACTGCGGATGCGTACAGGGGCTTCTGTATGAGCGACTAATCTCCGAGATGTTTCGGAACCGCAGATGCGGTGCACTACGGTTTAACTGGCTGTCCACATCTCGGGCTACGTTTACAACTGATCGAACCGCAGAGAACAACCTGGCAGTGTTCGCGTTCCCACGAGGAGTGAGGGTTAAAGCCTCCCATGGAGAGTATGTTTGTGTCCCTATGCGTTGGTTCCTTTTTGTCTGGTCCCCATCTGATGACTAATCTTCACCTGGAATCGAAGAACAGGTGAGCTAAGCCACCCGAGGACCTCTGATTCACCAGACTGGGAAGATACAAACAACCCTGCTAGTGTGGGCTTGTACATTAAACTTGGAATTGCAAGGGCTAGAAATGTACTCCAGGATTCTAGCAATGTGATAGTGAGGATAGCGGCTGCCACAATATCTCAGCTACACCACGGTGAAACAAGCATGGAACAGAATGAAATGGAAAACTACCTCAAGAATCAGATTCACAAGATCTATCCGACCAAAGCGCACGGCAGCATGGAGAGCACTATCCACATCTTCTTCGACCGATTCGGACCAAGGACGAACCACGAAATGGGTCCGACTGGTACGCGGCAGAAGGTCCCCTTGCACGAACAAACGACTGATGGAATCCGAAGCCGTCCAAACAGGTATATCGTGAGGACGCAAGCTAGAATTGGCCAGTGGGATGGGAGATATGCATAAACCCAGTTGAAGGAGGCGCTGAAGGCCATCGAAGAAATTTCGATGAACGCAGCTGAAGTCAAAGTGGGGGAAAGAGNGCAAGCTAGAATTGGCCAGTGGGATGGGAGATATGCATAAACCCAGTTGAAGGAGGCGCTGAAGGCCATCGAAGAAATTTCGATGAACGCAGCTGAAGTCAAAGTGAGGGGAAAGAGTTGTGGTCCAGTGCAGTGGTATGCCATCAACAATTTAGAAATGGGATGCGCAGTCTGGTGCGAACGAATGCTAAGTGAGATAGTTAAAAACAGCGTTCAATTATTTCAGTTATAAATAAGTGCACCATCATCCGAATCGCTCAAGAGGACCATCAGCGGTAGTTGTAATAATCAGTTTTTTAAGGAGTGCAACTGGCAAATGAGAAAGAGGGATAAGTGGTCATTAATGTGAGGAATGCTCTTGTAAACAAAAGAACAAACGGGAACTTCTGGAAAATTAGAATCTTTTGTCCGGATATTCGACCTTGAAAACAAGTGTTTATCGTTCAGCTGTACATCCTTTCGGCGTCTAGCCGCCCGAAGGAAGCCCGAGGTTGCCAAGCCAAGTTGCCCAAGCCTAGACAGGAGAGATCGAAGAGCAGAGGTCTGGTTCGAAACATGGACCTTCCGGTTTGTGAATCTGCGCACTAACCACTGAGCCACCTCGCCCCCAAAACAATTAGTTCACGCACGACAGTTCCGGTCGACCAACAGGCGACTCGTGCTGCTGGCTGTTGGGCGAGATGGCCCAAGTGGTTACAGCGCGAATTTACTGACCGGAAGGTCCATGGTTCGAACCCGATCTCTGCCTCTCGACTTCCCTTGTCTATGCTTGGGCAACCTGGCAGTATTCCAGTCCTCGTGCTTCCTTTGGGTGGTGGCATGGCAGTTGGGCACCGAAAGGGTGCTACAGCTGGACGATTATTCGATTTTGACACGAATAAATTTGCGACAACGCTTTCGACTACTTGGGTCCTGTACAGTACAAAAGTTTGCTGCGAGTCAGACCTTCGTCTTCGACTTACCCAATTTCATGTCAAGCGGTTTTTTTTTTAAATTAATCCACCGAGCCCGTCGTTCGGAGGCATTCCATTAACGCGCACGGCTTTTATCTAAACGAGCTAAGTAAATTTGTTACACGAGTTTGATCACCACTCAGACTGTTCAAGGCCGTTGCAAGAGACATACAATTTGATCTTATGGTTATCCTGTTTCTATTTATTACAACTTGGTCATGATTCCAACTGGGGCACACATTTCTCCCTAAATACACTCATCTGCATATCAAGCGGGTTTTCACGAGAGACCCAACTGAACCTCTCGTTTAAGATATTCTTCAACTGAATGTGTTGCACACAGGCCACCTCACGTTTCAGTTGGCACGGTATTCGAGATACCGCGATACATGTATGGATGTAATACACTACTCATAAGGTTGCTGAAAACTCTTCGACAGCCCATAGCCGGTTTCACCCTTCTTGTGGCTTAGCAGGTAGGCGCCGTCCCCAAGCTTTCATCAAGCTTATGTTCGTTCTACTTGAAATCACACTGGACAGATCTCGACAAATACTTGATGAAGTCTAAGAAGGAGGAAACCAGTCGTGGGCTGTCGAAAGCTATCCAGCAACCATATGAGTAGTGCATTACGTCTATACATGTATTGCGATATCTCCTGTATCCAACTAACTGAAGTAAGAGGTGGCTTGATGCAGCACAGTCAGTTGAGAAATGTCATAGACGAGCGATTCAGCTGGGTTCCAGGTGAGTCTTTTCGTCAAAACCAAATTGGTACGCGAATGAATGTATTTTGCCAATTTCGTGCAATTTGGGTTTAAGTAGAACATAAAGCTGATAGAAACTCGAGGGCTGCGCCTACCTGAAGAGCCCCAAGAAGGGCAAAACCAGCAGCGGGCTGTCAAAGAGTTTTCAGCAACCTTCTGAGTAGTTTCTCCTTTATAAGGCACACGTTGTTCACAAAATGACAGGGACCATTGACTACCGATTTGGAAACCACACAACTCCGCTCAGTGGAATTCACAAGAGATTGCTGTCACGAAGGTCACGTGATTCAACGCTGCACCACAATAGTGACATTCACCATCATCACCTTTACAAGCTAACTGTGGGCAGGATGGAGGCCACTAGTAGTACTGGTTACACACGCGGATGCTGGTTTCGCAAACATCATGCTGCGGAACTGATACTCTCAGTGGAATTGACAAGCTCCGATAGAAATATGCGGGCCGATTTTACTTTCCGCCGATTTCGACGCAGATAAGAGACATGTCGAACATCAATTCCGATGCATGATATACACGGGAAGGACCCTACGGGAAGGAAATAACACATGTTTATCGAGCTTCGATGGCCCCTGCACGTAGAAACCAACAGCACAAGTTCTCAACATGTCAGCCGGCACTCCTAGCGGTGCGTGGTTTACCTTTCCCTCCACCCTATTGAGTAAATTGGTTAGGCACTGTTGGTTGTGATAGTATAGGGGGACAGCAGTCACGTGAACGAGCTGTCGCGACATGGGCAAACGGATGTCATTCGCACATCCCAAAGGAATGAACATGATTGATAAAGAGATACTGAGATCGTACAAATATTGGTTCAGAATTTCTGAGAATACGATTTCGTACCGAGATGAACAGACGAGGCATAGCAAAAGTTGAACGAATCCGTATACACTGCGATCCGATGTACTACTGACTAGCAAGAGACAAATCCGATACCTAGTCGGAATACGACACCAATAGCGATTGATACACTGGGTAGGGGTTGTACGGCTGTGAAGCATCGGTGCTGAACACTGATGTCATGCTGTCGATGATGATGATGATGATGATGATTATGGGGTAATGGTTGTGCTGTCCATACTCGGACCGTTATGTCGGCTGGCTGTCTGACTACTCTCAATAAACAGCTGATCTGTTCTGATCTGATCTGGTCTGGTCTCGCTGCAGAATCAGTTCACTTACGTTGTGGAAAGCTAGCAATCAGCTATTGAAAACAACTCCTGGTCTCGGAATGGGTATCTTCCACCCCAGAAGCAGTCCCAAAAGTATAGTGTTAGGACTGACTGCGGGTTTACTGGCTAGACCATTGTTCTGTTGTGAAACCGGCTGTAAACCCATCCGTTTTGAAAAAGCAATCCCACTCATATGGGATTTCTAACAACCTACGGCAACACAGGCGACTAGTATCGGCTCTAAGAAACAAGTGGACGCGAGATGGACCAAGCGGTTAGAGCGCGAATTTACTGACCGGAAGGTCCGTGGTTCGAACCCGACCTCTGCCTCTCGACTTCCCCCGTCTAGGTTTGGGCAACTTGGCAGTATCCGAGCACTCATGCTTCCTTCTGGTAACATGGCAGCTAGGCGCCGAATGGGTGTTACAGCTGAACCTAAAAAACACGGTGTAAAGTGGGGAGTGTTACCTGTTTCAGATAATACACCTCAGACCAGTACTCAGTTTTGCGGTCCAGCGAATGCGATGAGAAGTGTTCGCGAGTCCTTTGCTTCCCACTTCCCACACATAATAATAATGGAAAATAGAACAAACGTTCATCTGGAACACCCTTCCGGTGCCAAGCTGTCAAACGACCGGTTAGGTTGTCCCAGCCTAGACGGGAACAGTTGAGATCGGGTTCGAACCAAGAAAATCCCAATTGAGCTGCTACCTCACAAACGTAAACCAAAATACTCAGAAGATGACCTGAAGAGATCTGACTGTTTATCTCTGGAGTTAGAAATCCTCTGACACCGGTATCTTACGGCCGAAAACCCATCTCCGCTAAGGGGGTTCATGCAGTCAATCCAGATCTGCCTTTAAGCCCAAGTACTCGATAAAATAATGGTAGGTCAGCGAAATACACTCATATGCAAACAAACCTGTAGTGAATTACGAATATACATGTAACGCGATATCTCAAATATCGCAGCGACTGAAAAATGAGGCGGCCTGGTGCAGAACACTGAGTTGGCTGGAGACATCACAAACGAGAGATTCAGCTGGGTTCCAGGTGAGTCTCTCACAAACACCGAAAACTGGGGGACTACGCCTACCTGATGGACCCTAAGAAGGGCGAAACCGGTTGTGCGCTGTCGACGAATTTCCAGCAACCTTATG